TCATTTTCAAATGCGAGTGAGTCAGATCACAAACCATGTTGTCTCATGTTTCAGGAGGTTTTAAGTGTTGCTGTAGGACCCAGATCTGATGAGGAGGTTTACACTGTTCATCAGATTGAGTCTCTGCTGGACAGAGTGGGACAAACACTTGGATGCAGAAAAGTAACCAGAACCCCTTCAGCATACTTGATTCAAAAATGTTTAATCCACATAATTCAATGTTTTTAATACTTTATTTTGAACTGTTTACATTACTTACACAATCTCTCCTTTGTCCTGGTCTTTTTCTAGCTCCTTTCCCCGGTGGTTGAGCAGATGTTGTTGCGTTGTACTGTTCAGCTTGCCTGCAAACTTGGTGAGAGTGCAATTAATGGAAAATTGAGAAGAGAACATGAAGTCAATGCTGAATATCCTATTGTGTCCGTTTGGGTTTGTTTCTATGTGCAGTATCCGGGGAGCTGCCACTTGTCTCCTCAGCCGAGGGTAACAAGAGACCTGCTCTTCTGGAAAAGTTTCTAGTTCTGTGGTCTCAGACTCCCTCTCCACCTCTGCACCTTCTCCTCAGTGAACCCACTTTGACTGGCGTTTTTAGTGCCACAGATAGTGAGGTAAAAGTAACTGCTGATTTAATCTTGTAGTTGATGCAGTTTACATGTGAAATATAACCGTTATTCTGTGTGAACAGTAACAACACTGGTGAATTGGTGATTCAATTGTGTTTTATCCTTTAATATCCCAGAGGACTGACTACCTGTTCCTGATAAGACAGCTAATAGAGAGGGGTCTTTTACGAGAGGAGGAAGTGGGCACTAACTGGCCAAAGTTGTCAGCGTTATCTTGGCCAGAGGTAATTGCTTCTTGCATATGAGATGTTAACTCATTTTAGAGAGAGCAAAACATTACGTTTTGAGGCTGGAATTCTCACAAATCACTCTCTGATGGCGTTTCTCGTTTGCTCTTGTAGGAGTCTGTAGAGAAGTTTCAGCAGCTCTCTCTGGCCACCCAGTTCCCATTGCCTTCACTGCCAAACCACAGGGACATACTGCAGGTCTCTCAGTGACCACTAGGGGGACACATGAGTCTACTTTACCAACTGCACACATGAATCCCAGCCAAACACTATTGTATTAACAGACAACAAGTGATGCATATTTGAACAAAAGAATGTTTAAACCTGCAATATATATGATTTTAAAAATATTTTAAAGTCTGATTTATTGTTAGTTGCAAGGAGAGTATTTGCTGCTTAAAAATGCTGAGTTAAAACACATTTTGTGGGGAAATTTTAGCAGGGCTTTGCCAGTTTTCACTCGTACTGCCTCACAGTAGAAAAAGATAAAGACCATTCACTGTGCTTTCTTGTCAGTTATGAAATCCTATTTATTTGTTTAAGTGTATCTAAATGTCTTTCTGCCTGTTTGGTTGGTGAGTGTTTGTATGCATTTCTTAGTCTATATTTGCGGAAAATTTGCACTTCGTTAATGTTGGACAATGTTTTCATCTGTTTAATGCTAAACCTATCTATCTAATGTAATAAAAATATAGTTTTGTGAATAATGTGTAAGTGTCTTTCATGTGTTAGATTTATAGCTCAGCTGGACTCCATTTGTAAGGCTGCACTTTTGACAAATTTCATGGGAACTGACCATTTTAAAATGGAAATAAAAAAAGAGAAATCGGGGAAATTTCTATAGAGAATATACATTTTTCTCTGTAGAAGTAATAACTCTTCGTGTCACGAATTACTCCTGTGATGGCAAAGCTACATTTTCTTTTCAGTGTCACACGATCCTTCAGAAATCATTCTAATATGCTAATTCGATGCTCAAGAAACATTTATTCTTTCAGTGTGGAAAACATTTGTGCTGCTTAATAATTTAGTAGAAACGGTGATAATGAACCGCATTCAACAGTACATTTTTATTTATTTGCAAGAGATAATGTCTGTCATTTTTAACCAATTTAGCGCGTCCTTGCCTTTTTATACAGTCTATGGTCCTTGCTGAATAAAAGTTTTAAATTATTTTTAGAAAAAAATTACTGAGCATTCGTGTATATGCGTTTAAAAGCGGAAAAACAATTGTCCTAATTAGCGTACACCAGATTATTATAAAGCAGAGACGTGTAGTTAATGCGTGCCTTCAGGCGAACACTTCGCCTTTGTTTCTTTTTCCAAAGTTTCCTACTATGGCGATGGCTTGCCTCATGAATATTAAAAACATACTGACGTTGCTTCTCGGATTGACCAGTAAAAACAAAATCCTAATTAATATTTGAGCCCCGCCTTATTCAAAATTCAAGGTTCGTTCAGCAAATCAGAAAGAACTATTAGCACTGACGTCATCCTGCAACCTTAATATTCATGAGCGCAGCCTTCGCCATAGCAGGGTTCGTAACCTCCCCCTCCAGTAGAGACGGCAGGAAGTTTCAGCGCAGTTCAACCGCGGCCGCGGCTTTATGATGTGCTCTGTGATTGTCTAAAGCAGACGATATCAACAACATGAGCCGAAAAACTTGCTATCGGTTTCCTCACTCTGCTCGGAATAATTCAGTGCTCTGGAGGGATTCTAACGGGCAGCTGAACTTCAGTTAATCGCTTCCTCCGCCCGGTGTCAACGAATGGCCAACGTGAAAGTCGCGATTCGAGTCCGTCCGCTGAACTCCAGGTACGATACGCTTTCATGAGTCTTATATCGCATTGATTATCTGTAAAAGCTCATGATGAAACTGCTGAATATAGTCATATGGAGTTCATAAACAGCTTTGAGTTGTTGGTGCTGTTGCTATGTCTGGGAATAGACCTGCGCTGACTGAAAGCCAACTGAAACAAATAAGCTGCCATTCAATAAAACTATTGCGCGAGCTCTGCATTTACACGTCTCATTATATTGCAAATCTGTATGATGCTCTATATATGTAAGTAATTTCAACTTTTAACACGTCAATCTATAGATAAAAAAAATAAATTATAGCATATTCAAAAACAACGCATAAGCATGCATTAAATATATTTTGCATAAGCAGTGCATGTGAAGTTGTATTGAGCAACGCTGTTTTGGGGCACGATAAATGTACTATAATCTCCTTGAATCCCTTTAAAACCCCTTCCCCCAAAGGAACTGACAGTACTGTATTATTGTAATGTCTTGTTTGTATCAATTTTACAGAATTGCATTACAAATGTGTTGCATCAGTAAAACCTAATGGATGTGTTTTGCTTTAACTTTTTTAAAAGGGGGGTATCCTGTACACAGAGTTTGCCCCATGAGAGCCCACCGCCCCACCCTCCAGCATTAGCCAAATTACTACAGTATGTGGGTGCTGGACAGGGGGGTAAAGAAACTCCTCCCAGATTGACACACAAAGCTGTGTGCGTGTGTCTGGCCGGTGGCTGCTAGCCTTGACATTTAAAGAGTCTTCCTGAAGTGTGCATCACAAAGGACGACTTCATGGCTGTCCGTCGCTATTGTGCAAACGAAGATGGCTTTTTAACAGGCAGCCGTTGGTTTTATGAGTATGCGCATAATAAATATGTG